AAAACATCAAACACAACACCATAGTCATCACTGAAAGGTCCACTGATTAATCTCAGATAAGATAGTAAAATACATACTGGAAGTATCGAAATGCACGCCATTCTGTCGGGATTCAATATTTCGACATTAATTATGTCATCATCAGGAATAGGATAGTCATGACTGTAATCAGTATTCAATAGTTTAAAGTTAAAATAATTGGCTGGTTAAAATTGACCAATAAAGATAAAGATGACCGATTTGTGAAATAACGATAACGTTAATATAATCAAAAATAAAACTGCTAGGCATATCCAAGCCTCATTAAGAGAATTACCGTTTATAATAATGTGCATCATAGCGCGGAAATTGATGCCGGCTTATATAATGAATTAACATTCATTACAAAAATCACAGCCACAGACATAATTTTAAATCAACATTATCAGGATGAGCTTACGATTATCTAATATTACAAACGAAATATTTTCGTCACATGAAAAATTTAAACTCAGCTTATAGACATGACACATTTTCAATCATGTATATGTACAATATGCCTATACCTCTGTTCCGCAACCTTTTTAGTCCACAGCACAAAAATTAAATGTCAAGCACTGAGACGCGAACCATCGGACCCGAAGACCTAATCTATCACCTGAATTTCATGGTAAAATGATTGAATATTTTATTATTTTCTTTAAGTCAATATATCACGTCTGTAGTTTTATACACAAGGAATACGTCTAGAACCATGTCAACTTGATTTTTTGTCAACCAATTAAAAGATATCACTTCATTCATAAAAGGTTTTTCAAATCACCCACAAACTAAATTAAAATGCTATAAAAATGAAAATAATATAACTTTGAAATACTCATACAACAGAACCACATACTTTATTAACTTTAAGTTAAATTATTACAGACGTTCGATTACAAAAATATTTTTTTTTAATTTGCTGCCAGAAATATATGGATTATTGGAAGACTATACACTCTAATTTACGAGAAAAATGTCGCTATAATTTTCACCTGAAAGGCAAACACATTGATATAAGCAAAAGTAAAACTTTCAAGTCATAACTGAAGTACAAATGTTTTATGATATGTTATTGTAAATGAAACTATTGACAAAGCACGCATTGCAAATTGCACGTTTCTTTACTGTAATTTTTATTTCCTTTGTCTTCGTTCGTATTACATTTCCACAATTTAAAGAGATATGCGACCCATCAAATCTATTTCGCGACCCAAACATTGGGTCGCGACCCATAAGTTACGGAACGGTGGCCTATACACTACGTTACATGCATCGGTGTTAGCCTAGATTTTCCCTATGGTATTAGACCATGACTCTATAAATTGTCACTACAAACCACGGAGGAATAAAATGCTACATAACTATTACTATTCCCCAGTTGCGTATATCTTCGGGGAAGGTCTTAGGGACACACGCCCACCTCCCCCATCTCAGAAAAGGAGGCTCCCACACTAAAAATTTGCTTAGCAACACTGAGTACACACAAACAGTTAAAAATCCCTATATAGTTGGGCACACAATCCACAGCTGCCATCATGTTTAAGCTAAATATTCCTAATAGGCCTATGATTATCAAAGAAGAAATAATGTAATTGCAGCAAGGACATTATCATTAGGTTTTTTTCTTGCAGAGAACAAGTACACCTTCTAAACAATCATTCATAATTACTAAATAGTAATATCTTCATTCCAACAAAATACTTTCAATAGTTGGTGTCACTATTACCTTTATAACCCATACAAACTGGTTTAATTTGTTTCATTTTCAGAGTTTAATACCAATATAACGATAACAAAACTTTGGCGGTAGGAGTGCACTGAAACATTTCAACCTGTAAACATAAAAAACATGCAAAATAAATTGCACTTCTCATGAAAATTTATGCCTGTGCATTAGTTTTATTTAGCTATTTAATATAGTTATGCAGTTCGGGTGAAAACTCCTAAAACACACTGTAGAAAACCAAACAATTCAATTGTGATTGACTCACATGGTATATCAATAGGGAAATTAAATATTTGTGATAAGAAATTGTGATTCAGCTTCCTTGAAATTGGCCACAAATAAATTATTTTAGTATTAATAAATGCATGATTTATGTTGATTTATTGATTAT